AAGTGAAACCAAAAGTCCAGAAACACCGCAAAATGTGCAAAATTTTCATTTTCGGGAGACATCAAATTCCAGTGGCACTACAAATTCGTGCCTTGCCTGTTTGATAATTCCTGAATCGTCTCATTCGGCAACTGAGCATTAAAATCATTTTCCGACACCATAACGTTTATTTTCGTGGCGCCAAACTCCAGAGGGCACCGCGAAGGGCCGCAAACCTTTATTCTCAAGAGGCACGACAGTGTTGGGCCTGCCACCCCGTGCGAAATCCTGGAACAGTTCCACGATTTCTTTGTTCTTCATCCTGATGAAATTCTGGATCCACCCATTCCGCAAAGAGACAGCATAAAATTTTCGGTTGCGGAATATCATAAATATGATTTCAGCAGGCACCCAATGTCTCGGGAACCATGATGGGTCCCAGAACGTTTATTTTCAAGATGAAAAAAGTTTATAGGCACGACAACGTTTCTACCTTTCCATGGGGGAGTGCCGGATCAGCCTTTTCAGCGATGGTTCACCAAAACTTTTATTTTAGAATACCACATTCTGCATTTTTAACCGGCTTCAAATCCCGACGGTTCATTTAAGGAACCCAACATCTTCATTTTCAAAGGGCACAAAATCACCAGATGCCTTCATTTCGGGCATCATGACCGGTGTTTTGAAGAGGCACCCACTTCTAAAGGATTCCATGCCCTTTATTTTCAAGTGGCGTCAAACTCCACAAGGTGCAACAATGGCCCCATTTTTTCATTAGGAGCCAAGGTTGCCACCACTGGTGACAAAGTTCACGGGACCCACCTGAGGGGGTCCTGAAAAGCTCTTTGGGCCCTGAGGGTACAACGATCAAGGTTCCGATCCAAGAGTTCGAAGGGTAGACGGGGGGATGAATGGACCTCAGCCAGAGGGCTGTGCGGAACACTCTGTCCCGTGCCGGTCTTGGCCCAGGGGCCTCTTTGCCAAGTCGGGGCGCGGCCGGGCCTCCAAATGCTAATCTGAAAGATCGTGCATTGGTCTGGCCCCTATGCCGATCAAAGGCTCAAAGTGCCCAACAAGGGGCTTGCGTCGACAGTTGGCTCAAAGTCGGCCATGGGCACATTTGCTGAACAGGGGCAGAAGCGGGACCTCGAATGTAAAAAGGCCTCTTGCGTTGGTCAGGGTGCTCTTGACAATGATAGGCGACATGACAAATGATGATGCAATGGTTTGCATTCACAATGAGACAAAGGCCCGTGCCGGTCATAGGTCGTGGAATCGAACGAGGGGCCCTCCCCACCGTTTCAATTGGGAGGCAGGGGTCCATAAGCCGAATTGGTGTCTCGGCGCCACTTCGGCATTGAACTTTCTGTGCCGGTGAGGGATCGTTTTGCGACAATGGCGTGTCTTTGCGTCGATTCTGTGTCAGATGCCCAGGTCAGAGAGCCTGCCGAGTCAAGAGTGGGATCGGTGTATGATGTATCCCTCAAGGAGCCTCCGGATCGACCAAAGTACCCCAGACCCGTATCGCCAGAGTAGCAGTTGATACTTTTCGGAACAGGGACGAAAGGACCCTTCACCTCCTGACCAGGAAAATTCGCCTGTGCAATTTCGAGGTAGATTCTCCGAACGGAATTAGTAGTTATAGCATCACGAGCGAACAGAATTACGCCATCGCGTCATGAGTTCGTAGTGCTGTACATGCTAAAACAGTATAAATATACGCAGACATTCATGTGCAAAATATGTGTGCATTACATTTCGCGTATTGCTCATAATGCGTATTACAAGATGTCCTTCGTTTGCAAGCTATTATGACGTCATGCCACGGCTATCTTATAGGTCAAATGCAAGACGATTTTACATGAAGAGGGTGCAGCGTATTAAATATCCTTATTTTTGATATCTAAAACTCATCTTGCTTAGGCATTGCTTGTGCCACATTACTCAAACAGAATTCAAAATTTGCTCGCTCCTTCAAGACAATGAAAACGTGCAGCACAAAATTTGAATACTTTCATGCTAAGGACACACAACATGTTACTCATATTCCAGGGCGCTCACCGTATGTTTTACCGCAAGGAAAAATGTCGCGCCAAAAGTCTTCGAGCTCTAATAGTTTCGCTGCTTTCTGCTCCACTACCAACGTTTTAAAATTTGTGTCATGACATGTCGCTTAAGGGGCATTACGAGATAGACAATGTGTACAAGATATTGCATTTACGTGGAATTATTCGCTACGAGGACTGATTTCCGCGATGCCCGCCCTCTTTGCCAGGATGAGAGGCAGACGTCGCCATGCGGTCTCAGAAGCATCGTAAAGCCCCAACGGCGCCCAAACATTCACTGTAAAGTTAGCGACTTACAAGATGCAGCTTTATGTGAGTTTCGTTACGGTTTTAAGCGTCGGTTTTTCGGTATTGTGTTATATAATGTCTTTTTAATAATAAATTATGAGTCCCTACAACATGTTAACTTAGTTTCAAAGAGCTCATAGGCTATCGGGAGTTCGTTTCCACATCGTGAAGGCCGAGCAAAATATAGCGAGGGTCAAGCCCAATATTGCGGGGAGGGGCCCAGCTCCCAACATATCTGCAGTTTCCAGCGGGAATGTCAGTTGGTTGTAAAAAAAGCCGCTTACACACGGTAAAACTCATCAGTGGCTTCAAATGGTTCTTAAACTCTCGCACTATGGGAGTTTGTTCATCCTCGCCCAACCGAGGGGCGAGAGACCTAAACTCTCGAAGCCTGGGCCACGGAGAGATGGCACTGCAAATATCACGTCGTGCCGCATCAAACAGATGTTGATGAACAATGATTGATGTTTGACTTCCGAGAAGCAAAACCACCTATATAATTCAAGTTGGCACTATACAGACGACCCCTCCTGTTATATCAATAATTAAACAAGCTACAAGTATGCGGAAAACGGCGTGACCAAATCTGGTCACAAAGGTTAAAGTTTGATCTAGTATGACCATGGACGACCCGTCCATTAGCAGGCCACCAGAACGGTATAAATAGCAATTCAAAATGACATAAAAAAGAAAAAAGGCTAGAAGACCCCTGTGGAAGGAGTGCTCGTATTGCAGTGGATTAGCTGCGTGTCTGGGAAACCAGACAGTTGCCAAGTTATGTGTCGAGGAAACCAGATACGGGGCTCGATTCCCGTGGTGCACGCTCTTCTTCCCTGGGTGGGATGCAAGTGAGGCCTTATAGGTTTAGCAGCTGAGTGTGACGAAAAACCTTAATGCAGATGACAGTGCCTCTTTGGAGTATACTTCCTGCGAGAAATAAGCGTATTTTTTCTTGAGTAAGATGCCATCCACATGACCTTGAGACAGGGGTCGTGGAACGGGAACCGTAAGTGTGTGAAGCTTGAAATCTTCCCAAAAAGCTTTAAAGTGATGTCAATCTAACATTTCATAACCATGCTGAAAGCCATTCAAAGATAATCTAGAAACATCTCAATAACACCTCTAACACCCTCGCTTTGTAAAGCGCATATTCAAAAAGAAATCGGTGAGGCATTTTAGGCCTTTGAGCGGCGGTGTCCGGTAACTCATCCCATGCTTTCATGGCGTGGTAGCAAACATGTCTCCATGTTAAGGAGAGACTGCGGGCGGTAGCTGGAGAAGCCGCCCTTTCCAGAACTCTGTCTGTCGTTCAGTCACTACGGACATGTGGGGTCCTGCTGCCAGATGCTACCAGAGAACTGGAACTTTCATTACATTGTCAGTAATGCAACGTCGGCATATTTTTCTCGAAGCATACGAAGCCACTAAATGACAATCGCCACACATGTATCCCTCAGAGACTGTTCGGGCTAGACAGCACGACAGCTGAACACTTCTCAAGTCCCGCACACCCCTGCGCTGCACCCTGCTCATCCGCGTGTCCTTCCCCGGTCGTTGGCGGGCCTCGCCCTCCGGTCGGCTAACGGAGGGAGCAGCGCCGTCCCGGCCCGACAGAGCGAGGGATGAGCTGCCACGGCCGCTATAGGTCGACAGACGTGCCGTCGCGCTCCAGCGCCGCTCCATACGGCACGCCGCGGCTGCGCCCCCCGGCGCCGCCGCGCACGGAGCAGTGCTGCCCGGTGTCGGCGGACGGCGGGATCCTCGGCGTAGCGGGGACAGTGCCTGCGATCGTATTTCGGAGCGTTTTGGCGATATGTGTTGGTTGTCGAACAAGGGGCGCAGCAGAAAGAAACGCCTAGAACAGAGCATTCTAAGACTTCCAGATTCTAAGATTCATGCTCAAAGGAAATCGACATCTCCCGCCCTGTGGGGTTATCGGGACAAATATTGATGATGTTACCCTATTCCTGATGATCGTTGGAGGTGGTAAGTGTGGGATGTCAACTGAATATAACCCATTTTGATGTCCTTTATTCACGGGCGTGGAGTTGCAGGATTATGGAGACAGGCCGGGGGGGAGAGGGAGATGGAGATCGGTCGCTTGGGGACCTTGGTATTCCAGCATTTATGAGCTAACCTTACACCCATGGTGGTGCAGGAAGAAAACAATCAAATGGCCTTGGCCCTTCCAATGCTGGACATTTTCTCTTGGCTATGCCTCTGCTTTAGTCAATTCCTGTGGTTTATTGCAAGTCGACGATTATTTCTTGTTCCGACACCAAATAGTTTGCATGCATTTGATTCCAGTGGTCGCAAAAGTTACAATACTTGGCCTCAGTGGTGATCCCATAGAAATGGTGCTCCACAACCAGCTAGAGTGGGAAGGAGAGCTGGTTTATGCAAAGGCTAAAACCAATTAGGTACTTGCCGCTTGCCACGTGAGTGCCACACGGGTCTGTGATAGACCATGGATGGCCATGCTCTCGCTCGCTGCACCACCGCCAGCGCCGTGAGCAGCCGCCTGCAGACGTGGCCGAGCCCTCCGGCCGTGACTGACGGCCCAGGACGCTCCTCACCAGCTGGAGCAGCGCCGCGCCCAGCCGGCTGACACTCTCCTCCTGTTTCCAGCCGTCGCCATGGAGAAGACGGAGAAGGCCGGGAGCCAGACGATCCGGATGACGACGGCGGACCAGCAGCCGAGCGCCTTCCGCCGCTGGGTGCGGGAGAACCTGCTGCTGGTGCTGACCGTGCTGGGCGTGTTCCTGGGCTCACTGGTCGGCCTGCTGGCCCGTCAGACCGAGTACTCGGATGAGGTGGTGCTGCTGGTTGGCTTCCCCGGCGAGCTGCTGCTGCGCAGTCTCAAGATGCTCATCCTGCCTCTCATCATCTCGTCGCTCGTGTCCGGTAAGGGGAGATGGAGAGCACATGGGAAGAAATAGGGCGAGGGGAGAGGGAATATGGGTTAAACTGACGGAAAGAGGAAGGAGAAAACGCGGAGAGAGATGAATGCTTTTCTATAATGTAGTCTAGAAATATACGGGAAAGAAGTATGAAGGAGGGAGAGCAAAGGGATAAGAAAACAGAGGTAGGAGTTCCAATGAGATGGGGGGTAATATATTTGAAGGTACAAAGAGGGGAGTGGTGTGAACAGGGGCAGCGGGGACGGGAGAGAAAAACAGAGGCGGCAGAGCCATAATGGGAAAGAAGGACAGAGGCATGGAGTGACGGTGAAAGAAATCACTTATTTGATTACCTGGGACGGGAGATGAGAATGATTTTCGGCGTAACCTTGACATCAACGGACTCATTAAACCCAGTACAAACGAGCCAGTATCCTCACTTTTGTTCACAGGCGTTTTTAAACGTGGCGAACACGTATACATAGCCGCAGACTATAAACCGGGCATAAGCCTACGGTGTATTTTTATAGCTATCGTCGACGCACACAAGATCCTCCTTCTCGTTTCCTCTCTCATCTTGTCACATTGGGCGCTATTTTGACATGGAGAGGCCGACATAGTTTTGGTCGCATGTTTGAATGCCTAGCACGCGGCTTATTTGTGTCATATATTGTAGCTGCTCAAAGGTAGCTTACCGATTGCAGCTTTTGTATATACCTGAATATTCACGACGATATAACTAAACATTTAGAGATCCGTCATGACCTGCATTTCAATGGCCAAACACCCTTCGATCTCAGCTTGGTAAACCACATGGCGTCGTGCAACACGACATTCACATCTAAACACGTTGCTACACGCTTGCGTTTTCGTGTCCTGTCGTCATTGCCCTCGCAAAACTGTTGCTCTTCGCACCGCGTCAGGCTCGGATGATTCCTCCAGTTGTGGTGGTCACACTTACAGACATCCAACTGCTATCCTTGTGAAACTTTGACATCTGCTTGCGAGACGCACCTCCACCAGAACATTATGTAGGTCACACAATGTCACCCGGGCAGGTGAGCTAGTGGACATGGGCGTTGTTTTCAGATATCAGACTTGATAGTTGTATTTTTTTCTTGGCTTTGATCGCCGCATTGCCAACGTAATGGCAGGATTCGAAACACACCTTCGCGGGCGTGTAGCTTAAGAACTGGAGGTGTTAGGTTCTTAGAGGGGGAGGGCTGTGAACTGCACCGAATTATCTCCAAGGTGGCTATTTCAGATCAAAACCTCATACAAATGTGGAACATTCCTTTTTAAATGTACGTGACCAATTGTTGGCAGCAACAAAGTCCAGGGAAGCACCTAAGAGGTAACTCTAAACCTTTTACTCACAATCCATTACTCCATGTCAAATCAATTTGGTGTTCCGTAATCGCCCGTGTAGCCGCTATTCGCTTTCTTAGAGCCCACCATTAGTCGCCATGACAGCAAGTGGACCTCTTCTCCAGTCCGCTGGGTAATGCTCTGAACACTGCGATGACAATGACCTCTTCCTATATCGCCTGAAGTGGCAGTTCCGGGTGTCGCCGAGAAGGGTGCAGGTCATCGAGGATACCACACACGTGCTCAAAGGCAATGATATGACATTTTCAGAAGTTGTCTTGACGGTGAAAACGAGATTCGTTTGATTATCATCAAAATGTTACCGACGGGTGTAATATTCAGCTTCGGATGACAGGCGAGTGTCACCTGTAGCTGATGACACTCCAGCGCAATTTCCAGATATAAGGGCTGTCAATCGGCGCCCAATCAATGCTGTGTAAGGTCGATAACGTATTCAGAAAATGACGTGTTAAGGAGCATGTTCACTAAACAGTGCAATTGTGTTGTCTAGAACTGTCTTTCCCACTTAGAGTATACCGACATTTAAAAGCGAGCTTATTTCACCATATCTGATGCATGCTTCAATATATCCTGCTTAAGAGCATTCCCTTTAACGGACACCTTGGAGCCCCACTTGAACTCAGAGCGCTCACGCCATTGGCAGAAAATATGGAGATTTACACTGAGCCATGAAGCGTAACGCAATAATTACCAACTTTCATATCAAAAGTTGTAGCAACGGCTAAAGCCGCCGAGGATCTTTAGTTGCTATCACCACACGCACATTTATATGCACATTTATACCATGCGCATTTATAATCTTCGTGAGAGAATGAGCACCGGCGTTGTCTAGGGACCTGGCTAGAGCAACGTTGTTTGGGTATTACACGTTTTTAGGAATCAGTATTTAATCGTTTTGATTAGCACTGATGCCCGCTGCGAAGTTTTTTTCTATTATTTTACTGAGTTGGGGCAAATGATCTCTTTGGCATGGCCGTATGTGCTTCTGGCAGTCCCTGGCAGCCGTCTGCCGTCTGTGCTTCTGGCAGCCCTTAGCGTAATACCGTCTGCTGTCTGTGCTTCCGGCAGCCCCTAGCGTAATACCGTGTGCCGTCTATGCTTCTGGCAGCCCTTAACGTGATGTTGTGTGCCGTCTGTGCTTCTGGCAGCCCGTGATGTGATACTATGTGTCAGTCGATGGTATTTGGAGCTCCATTGAATAGTTATCTCGATGTCTTATCAATGGCAATGTCTGCACAAATGCTGTACATTTTCTGCATTCACGTTCCTTAGTTTGCTGATGTTTTTTAATGCAACGGAAGCGGTTCGAGGTGTGAAGGTCCAGCATGCGTAAGCCCACCCGGTACGTGCACTTCAGCGATAGCCTAGGTCTGGCGCCGCTCTACTCCTCCGAAGGCCTGCCACATATGCGCCCCGGCCAGCGGCGCGTGCTGCACATATCGTTCGATGTGGTGGGACACAGCGGCTGAACATCTGGGCGGCGTGTGCGCGTTCGCCGCCGCACCGAGCACCTCACCGTCCGTCCCCTTACTCACCGGGCTCGCCGGTGATGCGTACCAGCCGGCTCGCACCCGCGCCCACAGCGCGTCGCACCCGCCTGGCTCGTCACCAACCCTGTAGCATGAGCAGGAGCAGGAGTAGGCACTAGATTGGGAGCGGGAGCAGGAGTCGGAACCGGAGCCGGATCTGGGGCCAGAGCCGAAGCTAGAATCAATGCCATAGATCGGTTGGCGGTTTCATGTCAGTGATGCTCAAGTAATAAAACATACGCTGCGCAGAGTGCTCAAGGGCCAAGCGCACATTCTGCTCAACATTCTTAAAGTAAAGTCTACCACAGTGCATGCTTGGGTGATAGTTGTTTATTTAGCATAGATACGGAGAATTGTTGTCTGTGACTTACATATGCCAACTGGTACACTTGTCGATTGAAAACCTAAAAGGTACCAAAATATAGGTATTGTTGTTTTTGTTGTTATCTTTAGGTTTAACCCTGTTTACTCGTGATCTCTCCGAAGCTCTCTCTTGATCACTGAACAATCATCATTAAAAATGATAAAAAGCCGCTTTTCAAAGTTCGCTGAAAGTTCACGGTACAAAGTCATCAAAATTTACCTTTCGTATTTACCAACGGCATTTGTTTTCATTTCCCCGGCTTCTGGACAGACGCATCGCCTTGGTCTTTCCTGTTTCTGGTGCCTAGCGTGCGGCAACGTCCGAATTATCACCATGTTTTGGCATTTTTAGGCGTCAGCACACTTCCACTGGTTCTTTCCCTCCTTTGCCCTCATCTATTTCAGCTCCTTCGTTTTCTCAGGCCCATTCGGAATCTTCTTCATAATTGACTAGTGCTTGTTGATGGATGACAAACGCTTTCTGCATTTATTGCTGCTTTTCCGAGGATGTCTGCTCCTAGGATCTGAACACCGTGGTAGTTCTCAGCTAGCGTTGTCAATGACCGGCTATCCTGAATCGCCTCAAGCCGCAAGTCGAGTGCAAGTATTGTTGCAGGTGCTTGTCTGGGCCTCTCCTCCTCAACAGCTTTCCATCTGCTGCTTCCTTTGGACGTCACTTGGTAGGCTCCAGTTTTTAGTTGAATTGCTCTGTTGCCGTGGAGAACACTTCTCGACTCCGCGACCCCTGCGTTCATCACCACACCGACCGCGCCGCTTCATTCAAAGACAAACGAGCTTCGTGTCAGGCGATAAAATGTCCAGAATCTTAACAAACATCGTCAACTAAACGTGTAGTTACATTAGAGTAGGAAAAGGCGGGGGTGCGGTGAAGCCAGCGCGGGATCGAGGCCAAGACATATCGGCAAAGCCAGGCCTGTTTCTGCAGAATCAAGTGTCGACAATCCAGAGACACACGCATGACACAGGGAAAGCCACACATCTGAGGGCCCTCCTCCTGCTCCAGGAGACCACTTGAGATTCAAAAGCGTCCACGGGCCCGCGGGCTGCACTTCGTGATTGATATGACTGCTTGGCCTTTAATATGGTCACGATGCCGTCCGTCCTTAGCTTCAGTGCCTGAGTTATTCGGGACCGCCGGTGAGCCTAAGACGCTCAGAGCAACCTGCGCTTGCCTAGGTACCAACAAAATCGGTGTTCAAAATGGCGAAAGCTTCAAGACCAACCGGGTACCATAAATTGTCCGTGGGCAGGACACGAGGGCGTCGCCGAAAGATGTACGGCTTGTGGGACGGTTTGAGAGTATTTGTACTACAGACGCAAATGATGTCCTGTACCGGTCCAGTAGCCTTGGAGCGGTGGTATCAGAGAGGTCACCTGGTTGTGAGTCCAGAGCTGTGACATACCAAAGTATGGTTACTATTTGCACCGGATTAGTCTAGATCCCCTAACCGTAGTCGCGTACCCCTCACGCAGGAAACTGTTGGGCCGGTCGCTACGCCCCGGACATTCGGAGCACATTACGTGCGGGTATACACATGTGAACGTAACTGAAGATTATGTTGTTGACAAGATTGGGTAGTCACTGCACTGACAGACCCTTGGCTTCATCGGCGAGCCAGGCCGGTTCCACCGTCACCGTGTAGATTCACTTAGGTCATAGGCGAAGGACAAGAGCATACTGCCGTAAAAGCAAAGCCTGTGCGAGAGTGCCCCCTAGAGTGCCCCGTAAGCCCTGTAAATAAGTGAAGACCGACTACACTGAACGATGGACATTAAGAAGGTGCAGTAGCTGCAAGCGAATCTGACATTGGTGGTCGCCTGACGCTGACAGGGGACAGTGGCGTGGCAATAAGACCGGTGATTATATCGGTGATAACTGGCACGAATTCTTTGTGAGCGCCAGGTCAAGTCAGCGATGGCCTCAGGCCGGTCATAGGCTATATCAATCCGACTCATTCCGGTGACTCCCCTCCCGGGAATGACTTTGCAGCTGGCATCCCGGCGGACTGGACTGTCATTCAGTCGGCCTATGAGGCTAGCCACTGCAATAGCCCGTTTGTAGCCGGTTAGCATGTGTGGATAGCAATCCAAGATGGCTGACTTCAGTTTGTTGCCAGCCGACCTCGTGATGGTCGCTTTGCCCAAGTGTTGACCAGTTATACCAAAACACTGAAAACACTTGATTTGCGATAAAATCCGAACCCAAATTGCAGTCTTCACGCAGACGCTCACCGGTGAACGATTGGGGGAGGGGAGGGACAGGTGAGGATCGGAGATGATTGAAGGTGTTTTGTTCAGTCTTACCATAAAACACCTTTCCCAAGCGTACGTCTGTCTGCTTTTAGTCTGTGCGCATCTATAAGCCAGACGTACAGCACGGATGGCTGAGCAGATCGCCGTGAAATGTACGCTTACGATCGGTCCAGCCTTCGAGATGATCCGTAACGTATATACACGCCCGCTCGATGACGATTGCGGTCATGGTGCGTGCGACAACGGGGTACCTTTTGGCATTTATCGGGGGATACTTCTTGCATACGTGGGAAAAAGACTCCGTGCAAACGCCATCCGTTGATAACATTTTGTATCTCGAGCAGTGATTTGCGCAGCCCCGTTCACAGGAAACGTCGGAATGGGCAATTAAATCAATATATTAATTACATGTTTCAAACGTGCAAAAAAAAAACACATGGGTAATAGAATGGTGACCTCCGGAAACATTTTCGCGGATTTTGTGATGCAATCTGGTCATTTCTCGCCCTCCCACTTAAACTAAGCTGTCAGAGAAGGCGATTTTTTAAACTCAGGAGCGAATTTCCAAGCGAGCGCATGTCTGTCTGCAAGGGTGGAGGCGACATCCGAGAAGCCGTCGTGACTGGAGTGGTCGATTACCATCTTAAAGTGGTGTATGACATCAGCTAACACTGTTGTTGCATCACCTTTAAGATTCCCAAGAAGTACTCACCTGACAGCCACTGGCGTGATTTCGGCCTGTTACAGGTCAGCGACATTAAGACGCACATCAACTTTGGTACCAAAAGATCAGGCTGTGCGATTTACTACAGCTCTGCAAGGCTTGTGGTTACCACACCCCACCCTTTGCGAGTAATGCCGGACAAAAATGCAGGGGGGGGGGGAAAGCACATTGTACCCCTTCCACCAGAGCATGTATGAATGCATCGTGTGATTAAACATCTTTTGCAAAATCTCTGCATGGGCAGTGGCCCGAGCGACCCATGAGTAGTGAATTGCTTGCAAAAGCTACTGATATATAAGTTGTATTACTCATACACTACTTATTATCGGCACCACGTGGTGACACTACTGGCGTCGGGTGGCGACACTACTGACACCGGGTGGTGACACTGCTGGTGTCGGGTGGCGACACTACTGACGTTGGGTGGTGGCACTACTGACACCGGGTGGTGACACTACTGGCGTCGGGTGGCGACATTATCCGCGCCAACTGTGCCGTCTCCTTGCACAACATTAAATTTATGTCACGGATGCGCGGTCCATAAAGCACGATAAATCGATGGAGAAACTGATTGGCCCCCCAAAAGCACTGCTCGGAATTTAATTTACGTGATCAAGGACTAGCTGATGTTGGCGTGTGGGAATTGGATTTTATGGAAGCAATGCTCCTGCGATGTCTCTCGCTGTCGCGTACCAGTGGCGCAGGTGGGGAGCACAGGGGGGGGGGGGGGGGGGGCGATTGACGACGATTAGGGGTCTGACCTGAGGCCCCGAAGATTCCAAATGGCTGACCTGACCTGACCTGAATGACTGGATGGCTAAAGGTCCCGAATGACTTATAAACAAAATGAAGCACCATAATGAATCAATAATTTTCGTGTCGGCACCGCGAGCTTTTATTGCAGGACAGCCCAATTGGGGTGCTCCCTTGGCGTGTGAATTGCTTCCAGACACCTGAAAATTGTCCACACATTTTGCACGCTACGACT